TACACACTCGGTAAGCAATCCTACAATTTTTTGTTTATAACGTAGTTTATACGGATTATTTTCAAAAAAATATACGTATTTTGGAAATGTTGAGTCGAATTAGTCTAGAATCGATTAATTTTATGAAAGAAAACCTTTCAAACAGCCGTAGTCCGTAAACTATGATTCCTACAAAATTGATTCATAAAGAACGGAACGTATCTACCGTCTTATAGGGGGATCTACTGTAATTATATTTACAGTACCTAATTTATATATAATTTATGTATAATACTGTACAGACGATAGAAATCTCTCCGTAGCGTGGCGCTACGGACGGCGGGAAAGTAGTTCGGCTGCCCGATGACGTTTTACGTAATTATAGGAGTTTTTTACCGGTTTTTACGGATACCGTCGCAATTTTTTCGCAGTTTTATAGGAATCGTAATTATAGGGACCATAATTATAGGGGGTCTACTGTAATTAACTTATAAATAAAAAATTGTCGGAATATTTACCGAGTGTACTCCGTTCGAAGACGCCATTGCTTAAGCTTGTATTCGTCGCGGAGCTGTACATCGGCGTACGAAGCTGTCACGTGACATTTGGCGGTGCTATTCGGTCACGTGACTACTAATCTCCGACGTGTTCCTGATAACTTATTCTTTTTGCGAAGAATTCGCTGAACTTTAGAGACATTATTANCAATAAACCCGGCGGAGAACAGGAGGGGGTATAAAGGGTCGTAGGGCCGACGGAAGCGCTTTCTCTCCGTCTGGAGATCTGGACAGACCAAAGAAGTTTTTAAAATCGATCTGAAAAAGTTTCTTAATTCGTTGTTCTTCAGTCGTCAGGTCGCAAGATTTGAATCCTACCAGGGCAATCAACTCAATGGATATTTGTGTATTATCTGCTTTAATGAAAAAAACGTCGTCTAAGATTCCAAGTTATTTGGCATCGTTATAAATGAAAGTAAAATAAATATACGCGTTTTCGTGTATAACGTAAATTATTATAAAAAAGGAACGTAAATAAATAAATCAGTAATAATACAATTTTATAATATGAAGTAGGATACATTTATTTCGTATCTGTTGACTTTTTTAGTCTATTGTTATCCTGTATATCATCAGAGGTGTCCAACCCGCGACCCAAGGCAAGTTCCAATGCGGCCCAATAAACGTATAAACAAAACCGANATAATATGAAGTAGGATACATTTATTTCGTATCTGTTGACTTTTTTAGTCTATTGTTATCCTGTATATCATCAGAGGTGTCCAACCCGCGACCCAAGGCAAGTTCCAATGCGGCCCAATAAACGTATAAACAAAACCGAAAAACGTTTTAATTTTTTTATTATTTATTTATTTCAAGGTCATAAACTCAAAAAAGAAGTTTCACAAAGCCGTAAACCTTTATTCATATTTTATTTTTGAGTGGAAAGGAAATATTTTCAAATACTTGGAGATGTGTGAATGAGGAAGAATTACTAAATAAAGCTGGAGTTGTGGCTCAAAGGATTAGAGACCCAAATTGGGGAGAAGGGGGAGAAAGGACAAAAGATAGAAAGGTTAAATAGATCTTTTGTTATGCAAATATTGATGTTACTGTGAATGACCGATATCTGGTGAATGAATGTCAGCATTCACACAGTCGTTTCGTGTATGTACGAAATATTTGCTAAATATCATTATTTCTCACTTACACCGGCAAATGTCGACATTCAGCATGCACTGATGGTGAATGTTGAATAAAAATATTTTTATTACGTTAAGACAAAAATGCAACATTTTAATATGTGAAAATAAGAGAAAGCTTAAGTAACAGCACATTTAAATAAACTGCTGAACCTAAAACGAACAGTACATTCTTAATCAGAAAAGAAAATAATACAATAATAAACTTACACATATATTATGTGATTATCGTTATACAATCTTATTTATTGCAACAATTTAAACTGTTATGGCACTTTGAATTGCGCAAGAGTCCCTTGCTTTTACAACTGCATTTATTCGTGGAACACTTTTTTTTTTTGCAATGACAGCGTGTATAGCCTTGCCCTCCACTTTTCAAATTAGCTGCAGCTGCTTCTCTCAGCGAAGAAATCTCATCTATGGAAAGCAACTTTTCTTTACAAATTACGAACTGATTACGTTATTACGTGATTACGAACTGATCTGTTAATAGTGTCTTTTATTCGGATATCGCCGACGCCTTACCGACGACCCCTCTCATCACCCGCCACTCGACCTGACGAACCGATCCCCACCTCACGGGATCAAAAGACCTTGTTCTACCTCCGGCTACCCACAAAGGATTTGGCGACAGACTGTCGTCTCTCTATCGACATCGGCTTCTCGGGTGTCGTTTCGATCTCCACCAAAGCTTATCTGTGCTTGTCGACATACACCGGCGATTGTTCGAATGTATAATAATATAACCAAATATTCGGACTTTCACCGACGTATTTTGTATTATTCGGACATTCACCGGTGAATATTGACATTTTCTAATTTCGGTCTTTCACAGTAACATTGATTCTTAATTTTCCAACCTTTTTCACTTCTTTATCTTTTGTCCTTTCTCTTTTTTTCCTCGCATTTGGGTCTATAATCTTTTGAGTCACAACTCCAGCTTTATTTATTATTCCTTCCAGCGTTGCAAGATTTGGCTACATTGCACCAAATGTGTCTACTTTGTTTAGTTTGATGTAAAAAATATCATTTGGCGCTTTGCCTACTTTTTGGGCTACATAATATTCATAAATATATTAGTTGAATAAAAATGCACTTTAAAATAGTACTTTTTAGAAGCTTCATTCTTCTAAAAGTTCCAACGCACGGACCTTTTTGTAAGCCCATGAATTTATTTCTCAAATAAATTCTTAGAATAAAAGAAATATTTGATAAAAATTCTGCCATATTAAGAAATATGGCAGATCTAAAACCCATCGATTGAAACGTTCCGTCTCTAACTCACACGACCATCTGATTTCTTATCTATGGGAACAATATTAAACATTGAAGAAATGATTCAAGCAATTCGTTAAAGATCCACAAAGGATCAGTCAATTAATAGGGATAATTTTCAGAGTCGGAGGACAACTTCAATTTTATGTTTAATAAACAATGTATTAGTGATTACTTTATGAGTTTTTATTTTATTTGTAATTTATTCTTATTATGTATAAGTATACACGTAAAAATGGTTTAAACACTTCATTCAGACCCTCGCAAAATTAATATTTAACAGTTACACGATTTACTAAAACTTAGATAAATGATAGAAAGTGTCAATAAATTATTGTTTTTTAATTGTTTTTACAGAGAATGGCCGAAATTGCAAAATCGACACTTGAAAAAACAATAGAAATAGGTGCAATATCGGCACGTAGTTCTATTTTAATCACGGAATTACCAGAAGAAATAATGTTTTATGTATTTCAATACCTAAACGATGCAGAATTAGATTTATACAGAAAAGTGTGTACCCAATGGAAAGATATCATCGAAAACATAATGTATCATCGAGTAACAATGATCAAAAGGGTAATTCTTATATTATTTCCTCGATCGTATGTCATGATTATATAATAAATTCCACATTTCAGTTAATTTCGATAAACAGGAAATTGGTTTTGTGTTTATCGTAATTGGTCGTAGTTGCGGAAGAACAGATAAATTGGTGATTTATTGTATATTAAATTGCTTTTTTAGTTTNGCCTTAAAGAATCGTAATTTTGGACAAGCCATTTTAAAAAATAATCAGGATAAACTTTCCTTGTGTTGGGGATAATCAGGATAACTTTAAAATTGCATTGACTTCAGCCAATAATATGGTTGATGAAAATAAAAATGCGGATTTGGATTCGGATGGTGGCTATCATCGAGTAACAATGATCAAAAGGGTAATTCTTATATTATTTCCTCGATCGTATGTCATGATTATATAATAAATTCCGCATTTCAGTTAATTACGATAAACAGGAAATTGGTTTTGTGTTTATCGTAATTGATCGTAGTTGCGGAAGAAGAGATAAATTGGTGATTTATTGTATATTAAATTGCTTTTTTAGTTTTCTGTATTTGATTGTGTAATATAGTTTTAAATTAAATTACATCAAAGTCTTAATGTTAAACGTTTACTCTTTACCATTGCATTAAAGTTTTACACTGACAACTTTTTATTAAATTTCTATGAATTAAACAGATTTTGTGTATGTTTACAGTAGACTCCCCTATAACACTGTAGATAATACCGTGTTATATGAATTTCATGTTGAACGAGTCAATTAGATTTTACAAATATGTGAGCCGTTCACAGCCCGACACACGTATTTGTAAAATCGAAGTGACTCGTACAACATGGAATTCATATAACACGGAATTATCTACAGTGTTATAGGGGGGGGTCTACTGTATTTGTAGAAATATTAGTCCAAAAATTATATCGAATTTTAGTCTTATTTGACGTTAATGATAATACATTTATACAAAGTTACTTTTTGAATTATTGAATTACAGAAGTTACTTTGTATTAATTATTATTTATTACTTACTTTATTATCTAAATAAATTTACACACGATATAAATATTACGATTTATTTAAACAGGAAATTCCTCGTCATTTAATGAATTTTATCGTTTACGAACCGGAAAAGGTACATCATTTCACTGGTTACAACGATAATTTTCAATACAATTCATTCGTCTTGGGAGATGAATCTCTATATACATTTGACTGTCCGTTTGACTGTTCGTTTTATAAACAGGAACGATTCACACGTAAATTGGAAATACCATCGATCGATCCATGCGAATCTGGTAAGTAGACTAATTATAAAAGTTTGAAATTTTTTATTAAGTGACTTATCACGTCTTTAATTTCAGACGTAGACGTTTTACCTGGATGCAGTAAGTTTTCATCAATACAAGAAACAACCGAAGTACAATTATCAATGTTTCCAAACATTCAAGGTTTTAATGTTGTTAATTATTCATTCGGAGTATTCGATAACAACATAGATATAAATAATGTATGCCACAAAATGAATATTCCGGAAGAAGAAAGAAGATGCGCCATAATCTATAAAGATTTTACTGTATTGCCTCATAAAAACTACTACTTTACTATCGACTCATGTCACACACTCGACCCAGGTAAAAACAGACTTACAATATTTTATGGGGAAAGAATAAATTCTTTCAGTTTTTATATCGAAGTACAAAAAACTGATTATGAAACTATGAAAGAAAAATTGGAAAGCGTGAAGCGTTCCAAACCGCGAATGGTACAGAAGAGATGTTTCGTATATATATTTCATCTTGCGTGTGCAAAGTGCATGGATCCGACAATTCAAGCTTTTAGAAAAGTGTTTCCTCTAGTCAGTTATTTTACTTATAACTTTTTTCCCTGGTCTGTAACAATGAATCCACCACAAGACCCGTATGTTTTTGTAAACAACTTTCAAAATTTCGACAAATTCGCATTAATGGTTTTCATATGGTGGGAATAATTAACATTAAAATAGTTTTGTTAGAATTGGGCTTTTAAGTAGTTTTTTGGCTCGCAGTTCTACACTATACCTATACACAAATTTTAGTGTCAATTCGCTTATTGGTTGGAGTTACTCAGATCTTTGAGTAACGCAACATTAATTATGATCACTTTGTACATTTCATCGGTAGTGCCGTACAAGATGTAAATTTTATAGCAATGAAGGTAAGCTGTACTCGCAAAACCGCTGTAAAGCAAACTATTTGTCGTGTGAATGGATTAAAACCTGTTTGGAACATGTGAAATAAAATTGTACTTACGCTAGTAGATTCGTAGTGAAAACGTACTGTACAATAAACAATAAAAACCTTAAACCGTAAGAATAAATAAATTATTTATTAATTCGTCTATAATTGCATTGTAATGACCGAACAGTAATCTTAATAATGGCCATCTTATCGTTTCTAAGTGATATTTACTTTATAGTAGAAGTTGGTAGTTCTGTGCTCGTATTTATTAGGAACCGTTCCACACCAATTGTTAACAGCCCTTTTAAATACACAAATTACTTTCTTTTCTTTCAATAAGTGATGTTGTAATTAAGGTGCCAGCCTGCAAGCACTGTAGATATTTTTGGACATAACAGTAAGAAATGTAATCTGAGTAAACTTTCCTTGTATTGAGGATTGCCAATGGTTTGGTCATGTAAAGTTTTCCTAATTTTTTAAAATGTTTTTAACATTAAAGGCCAGTTTAATATAGAAAGTCCTACAGGGAGGCATTTTTCTCAGAAGATTGTTCACGTGAGACGTTGCCACAAACAAATATATGAAATTCAGAAGTAATGTATTTAGAGACAGTATAAATGAGCTGTATTTTTTGAATTTAATAAACATAAAATAAATTTAATGCATAAAGTTTGATTAACTATTGAATAAAACGTTTGATTATTGAAAGTCACAAATGTCTAATAGCACACGTGGTTTAAATATCTACGTTGTTGTGACAACACAAAAAACCACGTGGTTTAGTGAATTCTTAAATGTACATTTTAAATACCTTATTATTCACATTACTTTCTTTGCTTTTAACAAGTTATCTTCCAAATCTATCTCTTAAATTAAGTTATCATTGGCCTTAAAGAATCGTAATTTTGGACAAGCCATTTTAAAAAATAATCAGGATAAACTTTCCTTGTGTTGGGGATAATCAGGATAACTTTAAAATTGCATTGACTTCAGCCAATAATATGGTTGATGAAAATAAAAATGCGGATTTGGATTCGGATGGTGGCGATTGAGACAGCGTTGGAAGCAAGACACTCGGAGACTACGTTAACAAAACAAATACCCGTTAATTTGTAAAGGAAAATACATATTATACATTTTATATCGTTAAACGAGTTATAATAAATCGAGCTAAAACAGGTCTAGGTACCTCTGCATTTCTCGAGAGAGAGAGCATTTACATTGGTTCGCGAATCGATAAATACCTGGAGTTGAGGATGTCCACAAGGTGATGATAGATTTCGTTGAGACTAAGGTGACCTGGGTCTCGTCCTTTGTTGTCTGGGAAATTATTGGAAAATTCTGGATTATTTACGAATCTCATTAAAAACGAATCTCTTGTTTAATTCTATTACAGCTCATGCATTTACGCTCTGTGTCGCCATATATGTGTTATGCAAGCGCTTCACATATAAGAACATATTTCAATTAACAACTTAACTTCAAAGTTATACATTTTTGAAGTCCATTTTAATCGTACGAATTTTCATAACATATAACACTATAAATTACGTTCGGCATAACACCGCTCAAAGATGGAATTTTAGAATCAAATCTACACGATTCGATTGTAAAATTCGATATTGTAATTTCAAAATTTGGTTCGAAAGCATTAGAGAATTTTGTTATTCTAAAACAACGATAGCATCACAGATTAAGAATAAAACCACCTGACGAGAGCTGATGAATAGGGCCGATAAAATTTTTGTATGTGTTATTTCTCTAGAATAAATATGAATGTGTTGTGGAATATAACCGACGAAGAAATCGGTCGTTTATATTTATGAGCTTCTCCAATTGCGAAAGAATGGATTAGACTGTTAAGAATTGGCAGTTTCCCGATTGTCCAGCCTTACACGAACAAGTTTTGCTGTCAATTTAAAAAAATATTTTCTTAAAGTTCAAAATGCCAGTAATTTTGTGTGGGACACAGGGTGGGATTTAAGCATTTCGAAACTCTAAGCTGAACTATGCAAGGCCCCTTACCAATCCTTCACAATTTTACAAGTCAATCGTAAAAAGAAAAGAATTAAATCAGATTATGTTTCTGATTTAATACGGATATTGGAAGAAAAAAACGTGAGGTTTCACTAGTCTTATGTTTTATAACTGAATTTAATTAAATTTATATACCCATTCCATTAAAAAATTTTTTATAAATTGGTTTTATCGATTTTTTTAAAAAAATCTTATGTTAATTCTTAGAAAGAAATGAATGAAATACTACACAAAATAAAAAGTAAAGAATATTTTGTTGGTTTGTAAAAAAATGTTTATTACAAAATTTGACTCCAATTTTCTTTTTTGTACAAATGTTTGAAGCCTCTTGAAAGTCGAGACCCTAAGCAACAACTTACATAGCTTTTTACTTGTAAATTCGGCCCTGATAGCACAGATATCAAAGCTGTTTTTTTTTTTTTTTTAACACAAAGGGCACAAATATACATAGAACGATCTCGCTCATTTGTTTCCATACCGCATAATGACGTGTCCCGCTAACAGTAATTGTTTTCCTTGTATAAAATTGCTCGATAAACAGCTACGAGCAGCATATATCATTATATCGGACAGTAAGTAGTATACGATTAATTTTACATTACTAGTTACAGGCTACCCAGTTAAGGTAGCCATTTTGTAAAAATGCAGCGCGCTTTATAGTTCATGAAAAACGCGAATTGCATCAGGCCATGTACTAATTCTGTCTTCTTTACAAGAATAAAGATTTTAACAATGCAGTTCTCTAAATTTAAAACTTGTAAAATTTATTAAGGGAAAATTTAATAAATTTATATTTTTTTAACAGATTACTCTACTGTATTGCAAATGCAATGCTCTACTAATTTCTTTGTTAATCAAACTTTCTTGAAACCCTACATCCGAATGAACCATAGTTGCTAGGTCCACCAAATAAATAAACTAACTTTTTTAGACTGTGAGTAGACCATAATATTGACAACAGGAAAAGGACATGTATTTCTACAACCTGTTAAATCTGTGTCACTCCCTCGGGAAAGGCAATACAGGAGTCTCTTTCCTTTTGAAAACATAGATTTTAGCTCATGTTTATAAACATACTCTTGTCACACCGGAATCAGATAGCGCAGAGAGAGAGATAGACGACGGTAAAACAATTATCTAAACCACCCATTCAGTTCAACTTCCGAATCTGCATCCGATCTGGATCCTTGACATTCTGTAGTACTCGATAACTGTAGTACAGTATTTTTACCAAAATTAATAAGATTTCTGTGATAAAATTGAGAAATTGGATTATTCCACTAAGTTAAAGAAAAAGAGTAGAAGTTTATTTTATATCTTGTATATCGGGTACGTGGGTTCAATTCAGGCTCCGAATGACTCGATTGGGACCTTATCAGATCCGTAGATCATACCCATAGGAGCAAAAAAGTCAAAGAAACCACACCTCTACAAAAAACCCTTCGCGAGATACAGCCCGCAAAATCAGTTTGCTAGAGATCGTCAGTCGTGTCGCTCCAGGCAGACAGTCGTGTCGCTCCTGCCAAACAGGTGCCAACTGAAGAAACTAGTCTCTATCAGGAAATTATAAAAGTGATAAAAACCGAAAAATTTCACGCAGCCATGCTCATGGTCTGGCGAAACCCCATAATTAGTGTGTAGTGGTTTAATCCACTTGGTCCCTGGTGAACAAGTTCAGTTAAGATTACTATTAAGAAAGAAATAAAACTAAAAGTTTAAAATAAACTCATATGTAAGGTTTCACTGTAAATAGTAATTTTAGTAGTGAATAAATTATAGTGTGCACAACTTTAAGTATCGAAATTCAAAAGACCTTTATCAATTTTTGAAGTTTTCTGTAATTATTTCAGCAGGGATTCAGTTCTTGGTATTTTTTTTTTGTATTCGATTTATGACATTCTGTAGGAAGTTATTTATAAGGCCATAGGAAGTTGGCCATTGTATACCCAGAAAGGCACAAGTATATTATAAACATCTTACGAAATCCGACACATTACAATAAAGTTACAACTGCAATATTACATCTAGCAATATCGGAGTTACAAGACGAGGGCACTGAATTCGTCCCAGTCGGCACCGTAATATTTGACGATGGTTATATTGTAATGTTAAATATACTGGAAGATGAGATCGGGCCGGAGGTTCGGATAGCGTAATTGGCAACGCATCAATACGGTTGGTTCCTTTCTTCCAATTTAATCTAAAAGCCTCATTTTTAGTGCGTTATTAATACAGAATAGATAAAACTACTTGTATTGGTCGTGGGTTCACGTCCAACTTGGCCACATTAAAATTTTCCGGAATTTCTTCACGTTTTTAACACCTAAATAAGGGGCCAATGTTCCCATAGAAAGTCCTCCCAGGAGGTACCCGCCTAGCAGATCGTCTAAGTGTCGCGTTGCCATATACAAACACAGCATGGCACTTAAAATACTATCTCAAATATTAAAATTCGAATATGGACTTTACATCTCAGCAGCACTCATTATAACACAGCTATTTAACGATTTAAAATATTATAAAGTGAAAACATTAAACTTTAATAGAAATGAAAATTTTTAATAATTTAAATATATTTATTTTAATGATAAAATTATTAGTTTTTAATTTACTAATATTTACAAATATTTGGTATAAATGCATTATTGTTGAGTTATTTAATTAAACAATATTTAATTATGAATTGTTAAAACTTTACGTAAAAAAACAAAAAGTAATAATGATTCCATCAACAATAATATGGCTGATTGTCTTATTGTTTGTCTGCAATTATGATCATAGAAAAGCGAAATTAGTATTTACTAAGAAAGGTACACATTAATTATTCGTAGTATACGATATTTAATTATAAAATATAGTAAAATAATTTAAATATGACTTATTTCTTAGGCTTATTTGATCAAAATGAGAAGTACTTTTCTTGTTTTTCCGATTTCTTTACAGTTTTACAATGGAAGCCATGCAAATCTGTGCAAGAAAATGTATTGAGCAAAGTGAAGAATTGTTTAAAATATGCCTACTGCAAAACTTACCAAGAAATCGTTTCGTTTACAAGGAAATTATTAAATTTAATCGGACTTATTATTCAAATAATACATTTATTTGTAGTAGGAGTGATAAATATCATCTGCTATGTATTTGCACGTATATACGACGCCATATTTTGTCCGTACCGAATAATTAACTGCTTTTTTAATTCGGAAAGTCACTCTTCTTCGGATGAAAACTTTCATTTGTGTTTATCTGTTAAGCCCAAACAGAATCTACTTTGTAACAATAATTATATACTGAGAATTAGAACAAATCTCCACGTTAATGATCGTAGACTGGTTTTGCTATTTTGTGGAATTTTTGGTGTTATTATTGGAGTGAATATATTCTTTCAGACATTACAATAATTAATTTATATGTCTAATTAAATTTTTTTTATCGATGTTTACAAAATTCATTGCAATAAAAGTAGAATTCAATTCTTAATATTAATCAAATCTGAAATTTATTTTTTAGAAAATAATATAGTAATACAATGTACTGAGGGAAAGGACTTTCTTCGAAAACTTGT